CGGTTTCTACGGGCACAACACTTCTTTTGGCAGAACTTACTTTGGCGTGGGGTGGGGACCCAAGTTGATGATCGACGTTGGTTGCCATGGAAGTGAGAACTATTTGACCGACTGCCCTTTTACTGGCTGGGGCGCCTCTTGTCCTTCTTACGAAAGTGCCGGCGTTGCGTGTCAGTCAGGTAATTACTTTAATACAATTTCCCCAAAGTATATACACTTGACAACTTGATACATGCATAGCTGAGTTTTATCCACCGAAATTCCTAGCGCACCTTTGAGGAAGAATACCTACTCAATCGTGAGCTGTTTTTTTTTCACTTTTACATTTCTTGAGACTTTTAAAAAACGATCTATGCATATTTTCTTTTGTTTTCGTAAGACTGGCTGAAAGCTTTTGACATGATTATCCCCTGGAACGTTAACAGGTGAAAGCTGCGAGATGCTAATTGGTTCAAATATCAATGTATTTAATTTATTTCAACATTTGGGGGATGTTGCTGGCACATTTTAGCGGAAGTCGATTTGTCTTCGAAGATGTACACGCATTTATAAACAATGAGCAACTTTTTATACAATTCAAAAACCTATCAGTTGAATAGTCGTTTTCCGTTAAGACGTCTGCCTTTATTGCTTTCACCATGTTTATTGTACTTTTAGTCAATTATAACAAGGAAACTGTTTTCTTTGCCGGACATTTTTATCTTAATAGATCCTGATTATCCGATTAGACTTATAGGAGGAATTTCAGAGATGGAGGGAACTGTTGAAATATTCCTGATGGGTGAGTGGGGAAATCTCTGCAGCGCTGGATGGAAAGATTCTGCTACCAGTGTGGTTTGTAGGCAGCTTGGTTTCTACGGGCACAATGCATCGTGTGGAGTCCCACATTCCGCGGAAAGCCGATCAGTAGTATTCACAAATGATATAAACTGCAGAGGTCATGAAAACAGCTTAGCTGACTGTGCAAGGAGTGGATGGGGTACAGTGCGTTGCGGCAGTGAGAATACTGTCAAAGTTTTTTGCCAAATAGGTAAGAAAAATAGTTGATTGGAAGCCCAGATTTGTGATTGATTCCATCACGCAACAATGCATGTCTGAAAAATGCTAGCTTGCAGTACTCCATAAAAGAAAATCAGGTCAGGTTCAACTCTAAGGACATAAACTATGCACTGTTGTCAGAGGACTACATCAACACTTTTCACTGGTCTTAATTATTTTGGTGTTATTTGGTGTTACTTTAAAAATTGTGTTGCGTCGTCCCGTCGTCGTGGCGTCGCCTCCTCTCTCATTAATTTTATACTGTGTTTAATGCATTTCGTCGTGCAGCAGAGGTGTTGCATCGTGCATTCGTGGCGTCGCGTCGTGCCGTCGCGTTGTTTCTTGATGCCGTTGCGTCGTGCCGTCGTGTCGTGCTGTCGCGTCCTGGTACATGTCTTGCAGTTGCGTCGTGTCGTCGTACCGTCCCGTCGTGCTGTCGCGTCGTGTCGTCGTTCGTCGTATCGTGCCTTTACGTGCCGTTTCTAATTAAAAATGGCTTGTGATTGCTAAGGCCAATAGAGGGCGTATGTCACAAGTCCTGGAAAAAAATGATGTGCGTGCATAGGGTTGCACTGCACCAAATTCTTGCCCATAGAAAACAGTGCAAAATCAGACCAGAATAGCGCCGCGGTTGACTCTCGGGAAGGGGTTGTCCTCCGTTTTTTTTCACTGGAAATTCAAATTATGGCCAGAGGATCACTTTTCGTTTCAATTTTAGGGGGGTTAGCCACGAATTTGTTTTCATTTTTTCCACCAAAGATACCTTTCAAACAGTAGTAAATCTATGCACACAGCTCTGAGCCGCCGGCCTGTATCCAAAACAGACCCGCAATTTGGCTTTTTGTGAAAGAAAAACCCAAACTAGCAGTCCCAAATTCGAGATTTATAGTAATATTTCTATGATCCCTCCTGATTATGGCATGTCTTATTGCAAAAACCCCGTGGGATCAAAATATTAATGAGCTCGCGCCCAGAAATACAACGATTTGGTGGAATGCACCCATACATCCTTAGGTCCGATTCAAAACTACATGAGTATTAGTGATCTGCACGGCACTCGACTAAAATCAAAACTATGGACAAATTCACCCCTCGGTTTTGGGAATTTACACAAAGTTGAAGAATTCGAGCCATAAAATTCTATGAAGCCATTTTGCGATGGAAAAAATCCTCTATTTACGTAATCTGGCCCAAAGGGATTCCAAACAATGCGGTTGCAAAACTTGACAAGAAGAGATAACAGTACCGTAGAGCAAACAAGTGACCATATTTGGAAGCACATGAAAACAAATCTGGTTCGTGACTTCGTCAAAGGTGAACACGCTCTAACTCTATGTGCAGTGCACGTGCGTTGTGGGCGTGGTTTAAACTAAAGTGACGTCACTCTTACGAACCAGATTGTTTGCCCATGCTTTTCAAAATCACGGTTACGTGTGCAAGACTGGCGGTCTAGCCGTGGCCGGCTCTAGCTGTTCGTCTTGTAGAGACGACGTGAGATCTCTCGCCACAACAAACTGTGTGTGTTCAATTTTCCAGTCCGTGCTACTGTACGGAGCCGAGACGTGCCTGCTAGGCTGAGTTCGCTCTCTGCTTGTTTTCGTATGTTCACGAACTGATCGATTTGTTGTTTGTGGGTCAGCCGCTCGAACGCCGGGGCTGGTAGCTAGTGGGCAAGCAACATGCAACATGGCGGCAGCCTGATGCGTTATTCGAGAGTTAATGTTTGGATGGGCTGAATTCTTTTCTTCTTAAACAGGAACATTCATTTCTGTGTTATGGAAATACTTAATGTTAATTTTGCAAAACTTCCCATTGTCTGTGGCTTTGGAAGCCATCTCTACTTTTTGCAGCTGTTCAAAATCAAAATCTCACGAGGTTTTTATGTGTGTTCCTGTAAAACCCTGACGAGGAGAGGGTGTGTGATCTTGTGTCGAGAACACTGTTCTTGAGTCGTGTTTCCACCGTTCGAGCGCGAGAAAAAGAAACCCGGGTCCATGTCAAGAACAGGCCGCCCGAACTCGAACTAAAGACTCTATGGACCCGTGTGCACTGTTTGAGTGCACCATCGAGGGGGTGCGTTGGCAAGACCATGTCTCCAACGATGAACTACGCCTCAGAACTGGCCAGATCAACATGCTCGGTGTCCTCGCCCAGCCCAGTGAGGTGGCTCGGCCACATTCTTCGTCGTCCTGCCGACCCAACTTTGTCCGGCTGGAACGGTGTCCTCGCGGTCGCTCCCACATCCGGTGGAAGGAGGTCGTCCATGCAGCAAGACCTCCAGCAGATCGCTCTCCAGCTTGAGGACGCCCTGGCACTGATTCCCTACCGTGCAAGGTGGAGGCAATCAGCGGATCAACTTGGCTCAACGCCGTCATGGCATGAGATTAAGTAGTAGTACACTGTAAAAAGTCGGGTGTTAAAATCATCACTTTTGGGTGTTATCAGATGACCACACCATAGGGTGTTACTTTAATTAATTTAACACTGGTGATGTTACTTTGCACACCTATAAGTGTTACAGTGCACTAGAAGGTGTTACAAGCAACACCAAATAACACAAAAATTTTAACACCAGTGAAAAGTATACTATTGGTGTAGTCTTCTGATAACACAGCGGTTGTTAAATTTAACACCCCGGTTTTTGTAGTGTAGTAGTAGTGGTAGAGGTAGTATACACACTTCACGGAAATTATGCTCAATTTTCCATTTGTTATTTTCATCTAGTATAAACAATGACAGTTTACTTTCTTTAACCTGAACAGAGGAAGACGATTTCCTTCCCGTTCGACTAATCGGTGGAATAACCAACAGTCAGGGCATTCTGGAGGTGTACTTTGATGGTCAGTGGTCTGGTGTCCTTTCAGAGGTTTGGGATGACGCTGACACCAGCGTGGCATGCAGACAACTAGGCTTCAGTGGACTCAACAGAACCGTATATTCTGATCTCTTTGATGCGGACGACCATAGATTTCCGACAATTAATGTTATCTTCAGCTGCACTGGGAAAGAACAAAGATTGGCCGACTGTACGGGTTCCACCGTCTTCAACTCTGCTCCCTTCGCACATCTTTCCGCAGCGGTAGGCATTGTCTGTCAGGCAGGTAAGACTTGTTCGGGTTTAAACTTTCCAATCATTACCAATCAACAGCATGCTTATCTCCAACCTATTACTGTAGTTTCGATAAAGTCCTTCACCGCATAGCTGAGTATCCACTGTATGGTTAAACTATCCACCCCGAGCAGAAGCACCCCCTCAGCGGTTGAAAAGAGTCATGTTGATCGGGAATATTCATTTTGGTGGTATTGATGAGACTGCAATAGTGCATAGTCGTTCCTGAACCAATGATGCGCAGTAACTTCCAACGAAGCCTCTGTTACAAAGAAAACCGCACCCTCTCTTCCTTCAACTCGGTGAACATAATGCTTTTTGGATACGGCGATTTACAGTAGTGATCCCCAAGAGTTTACAACGCGTTGGCCAAACACAATGCGCAAAATCTGTTGACCCAATTCGCGTTTGAAAAGGGTCACAGATTTTGCGCGTTATGATGGCCAACGCGTTGCAAACTCTTGGAGACACACTTTTGTGAATCGCTCATATAATTACTTTCATGAGCCCATATCCCTTTCCCGTCCAGAACAATTGGTCGTGGCAGATATTCACTTCACCTCTCACTTCATCTCTTCTATGATATTCGTTTTATTTCAGTGGATGACCATCCAGTTCGACTTGTTGATGGTGCTTCTAGTAAAGCAGGCAGGGTCGAGATATATCTAGACGGACACTGGGCTGCGGTTTGTGCGAGGAAAAGCTGGGATAGGGCCGCAGCAAGCGTTGTCTGTCGACAGCTTGGATACTCTGGACCATCCATCGCGTACAAAAATGCTACTAGACAAGCAAATGGGTGTGCCATGGACGATGTCCAGTGTTCTGGGTTGGAGAGAAACTTATCAGAATGCACATTCCCTGGTTGGGGAATGATTCAGATTCGTCCTCTGCGTGCTGCATTCGTTAAATGTGAAGAGGGTAAGAGACCAACAAAAACACACAGTATTGCTTGCAACACACTGAAGGGTCGTTTTCTGATTCTCACTTCAGCGGAGGAAAAATATTTTCGAGCTGATTCAAATGATGTAAAATTTGAAAGAAAGCGTTTACCAATCAGTGATATGAAGAAACCCAAGACATTGATACCCTGCCATGTGTATATTTCTAAAGTCTGCGAAATGTGAGGTTGGGAGATGAAAACTAATGTAATGTTTGTGTATCTTTGGCAAGAAGAAATTTCGAGCAGGCAAGAGATGAGCAGTACATTAATATAGGCATACATGTGGTACACCAGGCGGGTAAGTTAGTTAAAAAAACACTGTTTGGTGCATTCCTTCAACTACCTGTAACACTTTTTACATTAATTATGAAGTGTTTTGCCTTGTAGTTTATATGTCAAGATGTTGATGAGAATTTAGAAGAATATTCTTATTCTTCAGTGTAACTGAATGTTTTATCAACAGAAAGCAACTTTCCTGTTCGGCTTGTTGATGGCTCATCTAACACAGATGGTGTTGTCGAGATTTTCTTTAATGACCGCTGGGGTAAAGTCTGTTCTTACGGCTGGGACTCAGCAGACGCCAGCGTCGTATGTCGACAACTAGGTTTCCACGGTCTCAATGTGTCTGTAATTTACAACAGACAGAGTCAAACTGTGGATTACTTGATGAATGTTGATTGCACAGGTGATGAGGCCAAATTAGCTGACTGTGGCTACAATGGATGGAATGCCCACTGCTTCAAGTATGCAGGTGTTATGTGCCAAATGGGTGAGATGCTTTTGTGTTGTCCATTCTGAAGCGGAAATGTGTCACTAACATCAATGGTCGTTGTTTTCACGAAGTGACAAAAAACCTCACAATCTTGCCAAACAGAAAATCCGGGATAAACGCGTTTGAAAATACTGACTTTTAAAATACAAATTTCCTATCACTTTGTTACGGATTGAAGAATTTTTCACAAAGTCGTGAAATGTAAGACTTCGAAATGCTAATCCATACTTAGTAGCAGATATAGTGTTTTGATTATAGAATTATTCATTCATAAAGACTAATATTTTTTTCCTCTCTTCGTGAAAAAGAAAAACCCGGAGGTCCTTTTTTTTCCTGTTGCATTATACACACTTGTTGTCACTTCGCGAAAAAAAATACGCGCTTGAAGAAAAATGCTACATTTCGTTTAAAGCCTGGTCGTTTGTAACGTAGACGTCAAGACTCAGACAGTCGCGGAAGAGACTAGCCCAGGCTGGACGTCGTCTACATTGCATTGCGACTATAACGTCCTCCTATTGTGCGAAATTGTTTTCAACGGTTTTCTCAAATTGTTACCTAACGGAGACAGCTCAAATTTCGGTCACAAGTGTCTTGTATCCCGAATTCCATTAATGCTGTGTTGAAATTACTAAATACGCCCACAGACAACATATTTTGCAGGAAATTCTGCGAAACTCCTCGTTTCCGTCGCATTTCGTAAACGACCTACGTTCGTGTAAAAGTACGCATTTGTGCATGCGCGTAATGGCCTCCAAGCTTGTTCGGCCCACATTCTGTCAGTTGTGTTGTCTAGAGCTAGGTCTAGGTCTACGCACCATTGAAAATGCATGGAGACGCGCAGACAGCAGACCTAGCCGTAGCTTTCGAAGCCCTTTTCGGACACTGCCTTATCTGCGACTTCTTCACGCCCCAGCTCTTCCGCGCATGCGTAAGGTTCAGTCGGTACTACGCATTTCGCGCATGTGCAAGTACGCGTACCAGACGAACGTTCATCATTCGCACGCATGGGTACACACACAGACTCATGCAGGGATTGTGTAAAATTGTCTGTGTCTCTATTCAGCGTGACTTTCTGTTCACGTGTTACTTCGTGAAAACAGAAGAAACACAGAGACTAAGCTTTTTGTTAGTTGTTTGTTTACAGTTACTAGGAAAGTAAACAACACTTTGCCTTGAAACTCTGCTTATTTGTTCTTTGGATCAAAGGAAGTAAGATGGTAAGAAAAGCTCAAGATTGAAAATGTCGATTTTCTGGATATTTTCACTTCTTGAAAACAGCGATTTTCAGAATTTTGCTTGTTTTGTAGTATTTCTTTAATCCCAGTGCTATGAAATCTTTGACCATCCAATTTCTTTTCCCCCAATCAAATTTGGGTTCCAGACTACACCTTGTCTTGCTTGTTTCCCCACAGCTGCCAAAGAGTACCCAGTCCGGCTTATTGGCGGGAATTCAAGCACAGAGGGTATTGTAGAAATACTCTTCAATGGCCAATGGGTGAATGTCTCTAGCAACGAGTGGGACGATGCCGCTGCCGGTGTCGTGTGCCGACAGCTTGGCCTACATGGCCCGAGCAAAGCTGTCATTTACTTGCACACTCCATCGTCAATGCAAGGGAGCGATGGTGTGTTTCTGGAAGACGTCAGGTGCAACGGTGATGAACAAAGACTTGCTGACTGCTTTTATGCTCGTTGGGGCATTGAGCAGTTCTTTTCCAATGAACGTCTAGGAGTCATTTGCTCAACAGGTTGGTTCCACCATATTCGTGCAAAACTATTTGAATCTGGGCACGGTCCGTTATAAACAGAGGCGTGCAACTGCACGTGGCACCAGAGTGAAAATATGTGATACGATTATGGATTGTTCTCGACTTTTCTAGAAGAAACTTGCAACCACGTGACACGCTTTGTTCAGGAGTTTCAATTTACTTGCTTTGTTTTGACGAACTAGTTTTTTATGTACCACTTTTAAAGAGAAAAGAAACACATGCAGAAATTTCGATCAGAATTAGTATCTCCTTTCTTGGCTTCTGAGATGAAAGAAATCAATTATATGTACGTGTACTTCAGTTTTCCGCGCTTAACTGAAGCTTGCAAGCTTGAGATGGTTACATAATTACCTCCACCGTAGGCTCTCTGAATGTCTGTTTTTCTCTCATAAGTCGAAGTTGTCTAGCCCATAGTACTTGGTAGGATTTTCACTTTTTTCAAGGTGCAGTTAAGCAGGGAACTCATGTGCATCACTGCAGCAGTATAGGTCTACTGAAACGGATGCATGAAACGTAAAGTGACGCCAACATTTTGGGCTTTCTTTCCACCCAACGTAAAATTTGTTTCTCGCAGAACATTACAGCGTGTTCCCGATTCGGTTGATTGGCGGCCTAACTCCTAAGTCTGGTCTGATCCAGTTGTTCTACCTCAACCAGTGGGGTGTAGTTTGCGATGAAAACTGGAGTGAGGCAGAGGCTAAAGTTGTTTGCCGACAGCTCGGTTTCGAAGGGCATAGCTTGCCAACAGTGAACTCTGTCAGCTGGCAGTCCGACTCCGACCCAGTATACCAGACCAGCTTTCACTGCTTGGGTGACGAGGAGAGCCTGACTAGTTGCATGAGAAACAGTGGCAAACATCGGTCCTCGATGTTTTGTTACCAGAAAATAGGAGTAGTCTGTCAAGAATCCGGTAAAAAGGGACCTTGGTAAAAATCACTTTATCTCACACGAGCTCCAAAATTGGTGGACAACACCACCGAGGAACGTTGTCGCCTCGGTGGTCGTGTTTAAAATAGGAGTCATTACAAACCATTTGGTAATCACTGAATTGAGACAACCACAGCTTATTTCCATTTCTATTTCTGTTTTATCAAAGAAGGATTGGCAAAAATCAAATTGGGTGATAATAAACTTTTATAAGAGAGTGTGACAACCATCATGTTACATTTTCCCAGCACTTTGTCTTCTCAGGGTTCAGAAATTGACATAAATCAAGTCTTTATGGGATTTTATATGTACAGTGGAACATAAAGGCCAGTGATGCTGAAATTTATTGCTCTCAGTATACCGACTTTCAATATTACAGCAGAGGTCGTGATTTGATCCTTGAAACTTGATATTTGCTAATATAATTTTTTTTGCATGATTAAATTGCAGTTGATTTTTACCCCATTCGTCTTGCCGGGGGTCTGTCTTACGAAGCGGGACGAATAGAAGTGTATTTCCAAGGATACTGGGGAATAATACAAGATTGCTCAGATACCAACAACTGGGGCATTGAGGAGGCTAATGTCGCTTGCAATCAGCTTGGATTTAACGGAGCACGCGCCTCCGTCTTTCATAGCATATACGGAGACGGAACCGGTCTAATCCTCATGGAAAGTGTGGACTGTTCCGGTAACGAGACTCAGCTGGCTGATTGTTCTTTTCCTGGCTGGGGAAACCGACAGCTTTTGTGCCACAACATAATTGGTGTCATATGCAACGGTACTTGGAACATTGATAATATTGTAGAGTTGACGGAATTTGTTGTAGTAATGGAACCAGAGTATCTTACAAGTATAGGCCTATTTGGAAATACAACTCAGACACCTGAAACAACCACGTCTCACAGTCATTTTAATGGTTTGAGGAAAGTCTGAGTTCAAATTCTTTCTAAAGACAACTCCATTGTTAAACTAAAAAAAAAACCGAAATCGGCTACCCGTCATTAAATGTCACAATATAATGACGCCTATAATAGTAATATTGTTTTTCCTGATATTTTACACTGTTCGACACTGTGTGCTTAATCAATCATTGGTAGGACACGTTGAAGTGAGCGCATTAGAACGACACTTCATTATTGGGAGAAAATTAATTTTCCAAACTACATGTAACTTTCTCGTCTGGAATCAATACAAAAAAGGCCTTTCAAATTAAGGACTTCATTTTTGTGTGTGTGTCCGTTGCGCCATAATGACGGCCAAGCTTTTGTTAATAATAAGACTGGCATGCTTTCAATCAGCCATTTTGGGGAAGAAAACTAACTTATTAATGGTGCAGGGTATTTTGATCAGAAGTCAATCTTTACTCAGTTATGAATGCCATGATGCATTTTTGTCTGTGGCTTTTATTTTTGCATACGTAACTCCCTAGATCATAAACAAAATCAGTATAAATAATATAAATAATCATTTTTATCTTATCCTTGTTCTGCCAATACACAGAGAATTTCGAAGTGTTTGGTGGCACTTGCCCTCCCCCTGAAGCAGTGCCACGCCCCAACGGACAGCCCACCATTGACGTCATCGCTCCTCTAGGCCAATCAGTGGCCTCTGTGTTCTGGACCAAGCCGACATTAGTTCTTCCTTTAAACCATTCTACGGAATCGTCGCGATGCGTTCCGGCTGACGCAGACAGCAGTCCATACCCCTGCCAGAGCGGTAGTTCCTTCAACATTACCTCCCAGTTTGCCATCAGTCATGGCAGAGATACAGCAGTGCAATATGTTGTAACTGACTTGGATGAGGTTGATTCCAACTTCAAATGTACCTTCTTTGTGTCCGTCCGAGGTAATTTCGTATATATGTACATGAATGATGGGTAAGAGAACTGCATGAGGACTTTGATATTAGGCGAGGATTTAAAAAGAGGGACTACTCACCCGTGAAGACTTTATCACCATCATTTAAAAAAACATAGATTTCAGTCCAGACTTTACAAGGTTGAGCTGTTCATAAGTACAGTTTACATGTTCCGTATATTTTTCTTCAAAACAGATGACGAAAAGCCAACGATCACATGTCCAGATAACATAACCAAAGTGGCTGAATATGGTTTCCAATACATCACAGCAAACTGGACGGAGCCAGTGGGAACGGACAATTCCGACATCGTGTCCACCATATCCAATGTCCCCCACAGTCCCCCTATTCAGCTCGGCTTCGGCATTCATGTCTTCACCTATACTGCTACCGACGGCTCCCTGAACACCAATTTCTGCACATTTGCAGTCACGGTCAAAAGTAAGTTGCCTTACATGCAGCCAATCTCTCCTGCTCTTGGCTTGTTATTCAGGTTTGTCGTAATTAAAGGGCATGCGCAGAAAGAAGCGCGTGGTTGCGTTGCAGACAGTTTTTGGTGTTGAAACTACCACTGCAAATGGATAATTGGTGTTTGAGATCGGCCTCGCCCCGTCGTTCTTGTTGATATACCAGCATGGTTTCACATTTCAACACCAGTTATGAAGCAACACCAATCGGAATATGCTTGACATTGATACAAAATATTCCCTGGATTGTATTCTTGGTTGTTCGTCAACTTATATTTTTTTCAAGTCATGGCCGTGTAGTAGAGCACTGGTCCCATGTTTTCCTTGGCTTATTCGTGCTTGAATCATATACAGTTATGGTGCGTCGATCTGTGCTTTAAGATCACTTTTTTTCTCCCTATTGTGTTCATAGAGATGAAAGTAGGATCTTGTCCAAGTGATGTTACATCGGATACTACCCATGGTCTGCTCACTTGGCCAGTCACTGAGGCAGGGTCACACGCCGAGTCCTTCCAAAGATGCCCTATCTACACAGAACGAGGTTACTAGAATAATATATGCGCAGCGCTATTTTTGAAGCCATAAACGTAACGAGGACAGGCTATTCCCGTCCTGTTTACACATTTTAATTACTTAACTGTAATTGATCTTGTAGGCCTAATATGTCATGAAAGCTTGCTGACTGAAGTGCAACAAAGCATTCTGAGGAAACCAAAGCGGATCCAGAGTCAGTGTTTTGGGAGGACCAATTTTGTTTTCCAATGGGGAGGTATAAACTTGGGGGCTTTTACACAAAATTGAAGCAACAGAAACGAAATAGTTCCCAAACCATTGCCTTTCTCTCATTATTTTTCACACTAAACGAAACCTTCTTTTCTCGGTTAGAACCCTCTTTGCCCCCCCCCAACATCCTCCTTTGAAACCGGCATCATACGCAGACTATAATGCAAAAAGAAGAAGAACATTTGGTGGAGATATAAGCAATCGTACCAAGTAGCCTGCACACTATATGCAACGTCTGATTTGTGCAGAAAAAAATTCTTGCGACTGTTCTTGCCAGTGAGTCGAAATTGACTTTAACGGTGTTGAAGCCATCTTAGAAAGAAATCTGTCAGAAGCTGCTAATATTGGTCAGTGGCCATTGGCTGATCCATTAGTAGTTCATCCAAGATACAAAAGTTTGTCAGAGGTTCAAAACTGACAAGGTATTTTACTGCAATTTGAAAGACGCTCGAGTCCTTGTTTCATCGTTTCCTCGGGGCTTCAAGGTTGTCGATTACAGAGTCAGATATGTTGTCTGTTTTTTTCCGAATGCACAATAATTGCTGCCGGCTTGTTGGTCAATAATGAAGGTAAAGCTTTCTTGAAGTGTCGGTTACGCATGTATGTCATCGACGCCTGTAGTGTTCATAAACTGTCCAAAAATCAGTTACATATATTTTTAACAGATGGTTAAAAAAGCTGGAACTCATCCTTTCATAAAGATCCTTCAGTGGACTTTATTTTGTTTGGTTTTGTTATCCAGCCGGTTGGGCAAAAGCCGTCAGACACTGCACATTTGATAATTTAGCCGGCAGTGCAACCTGGGAAGCGCCTCAAATTCTAAGTTGCGGAGAGAACAGGAGCAGAGTGACTGTAGAAGATGTTGCGCAGGTATGTTGTTTGTTTGGGTCCAAAAACAGTTCACTGGTCATGCTCAAAGAAATCGGTGTTACATTTGAGTAAAGTCACCAATTTTACCATTTTCTTGCTGTCAGATTCCAATTAGTCGACACAATGTCTTGGAAGTAGCCAAATTTCTGGCGGAGAAGTCCTACAAGGATTGGTCAACGCAGCGAATTGACGCAGTGGTTGAGATCCTGAACAACATCACACGTTTAGGCCCTGATGGAGAACCAAATGTAATGATTAAAATGACAGCTTTCCTTTTTTCCCTGGAAGCCTCCTTGGGGACGCCGTGGTTGTTATAAGTATTTACCGAAAAAATTGAATTGCAACCAAAATGACGGATAAATAACTCCACTTTCGGTTTTTATTATCTGAAACCTTTCCACATAACACGATGATCAAGATTTTAAACAATGTAAATATAAAATACAGGCAGTACATTTTCATCAAAACACACAGGCCTACAAGGTTCTATCTCCCGACAAAGGATCAATTTTCCACTTTCACATTGAGAATATTTCCTTTTTATTGTGCAGGTAACCAATGCAGTTATCGATACCGTGGATAATATTGCAAAAGCCTTGGCAACCTTCGAACAATCTCAGTACCTTAGTAAGGAAAGTCTGGTCTCAATGTTGCGGACAGTTCAGAAACACGTGTCTGCAACGCTTGCACGGAAGGGCGTGGTCCACATTCAGAAAGATTCCATCCACGTTGAAGCAGTCAGCGCCAACTTATCTTGGGCGAGGAATGGTCTGAGCTTCATCTTGGAGGACGGGCTTACCTCTGAGCAACGAGGGTCAACACAAGCGGGCCGCAGTAGGCTGGTGGGATCAGAGGTCAGAGTTTATGGCGGTGAGGTACTGCAAAGTCACAGTGTGAGGGCAGCAGTAACATTGCCGGGGAACATGGTGAAAAGGTTACCTGAAAGAGATGGTATGTAAATGTGTGTCGTCTTTTAAAATGTCGTTCTAAAAGTTAATTGTAACTAATTGCTCTCACTTTCGCTGTTAGCTGTTGTGCTTCTGGGTGACATCACTGTCAGAGTCAGATCTCTTTTAAGTATGTCCTCCGTTTCTAAATATTTTCCATAGGAAACACCTCACTTCCACATATGAATGTAAGTTTCATCATCTACGCTGATGACACTATGTTTCCATCAGCCTTTGTGAAAGGTTCACAGTCCGGGAACCAATCTGCAGTCGTGGTACCAGGCCCTGTGATCTCATTGGCCGTGGAGGACGTTACACTTGTAAATCTGTCAGAGCCAGTTGTTATAGAGTTCGAGGTAATTAAGTAATGTTTTATTACACATTAACTTTTATAACTAAATCTGTATTCAAATTAAATATTTGTTAAGGAATTTGTTGCTAGCATTGTGTAAAATTAAATAACATGAATTTCTGTTCTTTTTTATGAGTTTGAATTCACGATTTTGCTATTTGTGATAATTGCAGACCTAGGATTACTTTGTTCATTAAAGGATCATTCGATGCATGTCAACGTGTCGATGTCCTCTTGTTTGTCTTCTTTTGATATGTAGGCCCAAAGATTAAAAAGCCTTTAAAAGAAGAACGGTCATACATAAATTGAAGATGCTTGATCTTCGATGCATTTCCTCTAGTGTTCTTGTTCTTATACATAGGACAGAAACTTTAAGAGCTGCTGGTTAGCATCTGTTTGTGGGCTTTGATACAATTTATTTTCCACGAACGATTCACAGACTGTAGCAAGTAGCAGCACCGAGTCGGCGACATGTGTCTTCTGGGACTTCACTCTAGAGGGTGGCGTCGGTGATTGGTCGAGTATCGGTTGCGAGTTTCAGGGACTGACCAATGGAAGATACACATGCCTCTGCAATCACGAGGCCATCTTTGCCGTACTCGTGGTAAGGGCTGTGTTTGGGTAACTGATTGAAACACTCCGATTGAATTGATCGCACACTTTTAAACCAATGACTGATTTCTCAACAGGAGTTAGGCGAGGAATTTCAGACGAATCGTGGCAGCCTTGATCTGATTGCTCAGATAAGCTGTATTGGATCAACAAGTACCTATCTGATTGTAATTATCGCGTATCTCTTTCTAAGGTAAGAATTCGACTTTGAGTGGTAGAGTCTATACGATGATATTCCGTGTACACACAAAAATAGGACAATATCCTCTCTATGAACGTAAACATACAAGTGCTTTGATTTAAACCTATACCGATATGGAAATTCAAATCACTGATGACCACTTAGCGTCCATACTTGTTTTCAGGGACTTGTTTGTCTTGTTTTTTTTTTTTTTGTTTAACGACCTACCCTTCCTCAAGGCCAAGACGTGAGAACCATAGATAATAAAAGAGACACCACCCTGTGCATGAAGGAAATTGTTCCACTGCCCCTTACTTTTCTCATTTCAACTCATACATAGGCAGCCGACTTCTCTTGAAAAACTAGTCCATATCCAGAGTTGTCGCACAAAATGCCGCTCATGCAAGTTCGGCTGACCGTAATGGTTAGCAGCAATTTTTATCTCACCGCGTCCGAAAGCGGTTTCAAGAGCTACAAGAGGCCGAAGACTCAGACCTTGCTCAATGTAGCAGAATAGGATGCAGCCTCCGTCAGTGAGATTAGATTTGATATTCATGGTTCCTTTCCCACAGAAAAGCGCGGGCCGGTAAAGCAGGTCACGTGTTTCTGCAGTTCCTCTTCTCTCTGCTGATGATCTATGCAGTGTTTTTAGCTGGTGTCAATCATGCACGGGTAAGTTTCACAACACTTCTCCTTTAAAGGCCAATCCTTGAAGATAAATTATCGAACTGAAATGACAGGTGCTGAACTATCCGCCTCAAACAGAATAACCCTCTCATCGGTTGAAAAGTGCCGTTTGATCGGGAGTGTTCGTTTTAATTGCTGGTAGCGATGCGACCATAACGCGTGCCTTTCATAATCGTTCGTGAATCAGCGAAGTTCAGTTCTAACCAAAGGAGCCTCCGTTGCTAGAAAAAAAAAGGAAACTACTCTTTCTCTCGGTCCAGCTCGCAGCTCATACATTCCACTTGGTGTCCACTTGTGTAATGGATTACGTAAGGCAAGGACATCGTTTGGAGTCATGTTTTCGACCTTAATCTCGTTTTGCCCTTTTGGTCGGTTTCACCTCACTTTCTCAGCATTTGAGATCTGGTTGCGTGGTTGTTGCTGCCCTGCTGCATTACTTACCCCTAGCCACGTTGATGTGGACAGCCGTTGAGGTCAGACATATCTACAACAGCATGCTGCATGGTTCCTCAACAGACAGTTCCTCGTGTGTTATCCTCACAAGCCTTGTGGCTTGGGGTATGTATCTATTTTTGAATGGTCTTTGGGAGTTAGACTGTGTAGAATGTACGCATATGTACATGTACATATGTATATCTAGGCCGCATTTATATGTGTGCGAGTTTGGGGCACTTCCCCTTCCCATCTCTTTCCCCATATCCGTCTGCTGCACAGACACTCTGCAACTTAGGGTCTACACATACGGACTTGAGGGCGCTGCCAACACATAATTATAGGGAAAAGCGCCTTTCGATTTGGGGGGCTCACGGGGTGGACACTCGAGTGTCTGGGATATAGGTCCTCGCCAAACAATGTAATCTTTAAGCATTGTCGCTCTCCTGTGCAATGGGGATATCCTTCAAGATATCAAGGAAAATGAACCGTGGTGTTATCGATTCTTAACCAATAGATTTTCGTAATCTGTACATTACCTTGGTGTTCCCATAACGCGGCATTTCTAACAATTTGTAGCTCGATGACTTTGTACTGCAGTTTATTGGGCAAAGTAGAGAGTCTTTACATCCAATCACTCCTGAACTCACAAATCAGTCAATTAGCCAATTGCGAAACCTTCGTTTTTCAACTCAGTGATTAATTATATTTCTACACCCAGCCTCTCCCTTGATAGTGACTGGCATAACAGTGACCTTGGCGTTGGATCATTACGGAAGTGTGGATAGGTGAGTAGACTGTGCAACTTTGCAACCACAGACGGACATGTCAATTGGAGCATTGCCCATAATGGGAGACATTAAAAAAGAAAACTCGTCACTGTTAAAGGTCAGCACCGAGGCTAAAAACTCATCTAGCGAGTTTAAAGAAGCCATTAATGCAGTGTCACCACAGTTGTGAACAGGTGCAATCGTTAAATGCCTCTGCCGCCATACTGTGACTCATCAAAATGCAGGTGGCTGTCAAGTTTATTAAAGGGTGCACTTGTGAGTATGGTGCAAAGGGACGGGGGCGTCCGTGGGTGTTGAGTTGTATTCCTGTATTTTAATGATCTGGATCAGGTTTAATTGGCTTCCCAGGGATGCATTTTCTTCGATTGTTCATTTTAACTTATTTCATTTGAAGAACATAGGTCGGTGCTTTCGTGTGTTCGCACGACTGTAGCGTTGATGTTGGTGTTCTGATTAGTAACACAAGGAGTAATTTATAATTCTTAGCTACCCTTTTCTTCCTTGACAAAAAGTTTATGCAAGGATACCGTAAGTCATCACAGCGTCTGATAAGGGCGACGAGGTTGCACGATCGCGATAGTACATGTACACTGTATATGCAAGCTTTCTGTCGTGAAATGAAATGGTCTATAGTCTACTTTCTAGGCAAACACTCGGAAGTCACACAAGCAGTCCTCTTATCGTCTATACAATATGTTGCTACTTTTGCTGGAGAAATATTGTTTTCAGGGGGTCGTTTGTTCCAGCAAATAGGTTCAAACATGCGCACATTCTCTGCTACCACTTCACTCTCGCAAGCAGGCTGCATACTGCTAATATCGTCCATATTTACATTCGCCAGCTGCCTTCTGGTTCCTGGCCTTCCGTTGTACCTTGGATTTCTCGTCCCTGTTGGTCTCATCTTGACCCACAACACAATTACCACCATTGCTGCTGTGAAAGTCAACTTCTGCAGTGCCGAAGATGGACTGCCAAGCTCGCAAGTTGTCGCACGCCTCATCTGCGGCACTTTGACGTGGGTCCTCTTTCTAGCCATCTTGTGCTTTGGGTTTCTGTTGATTTACAGTACACGCTCTGTATTCAGTATCGTCTTCTCTGCTTTGAACTTTGCAGAGGTGAGGACATCTCATTTTTAGGCTTTGGGAATTTCCATGGTTGATGTTGCATACTACTTTGAAATTTGGTGCAAATAAAAACAAAGATAATTAATCGCCCAATACATGATTATTACCAAATCCAAGGCACTGTAGTAATATGTCAATTTGATCTAATTAAAAGAATCGAATACCGAATGGCATCAATGGAAAGGAAGCCACATGGCTTCAATGTGTGGTAGGTTTGAAATGAAACGAACCTATTTCCTGTGTTCAAAATTCAGATCGTCGTCGTCTGTACTCTGGCTTGTGTGCACAGGACTAAGGAAACACCAATATCGGGCACTCAGAAAGGTCCTCAAGAGGGAAGCAAGGAAGAGGATGAAGAAGACAAAGACTTCTGTAGTGAAGAAGAGACGCCCTCAAGCCTGTCAAATGCAGTGAAGTCAGTGGATTGTCAGGGTACCAGGGTGACGTCTCACACTGAGATAGCCCTGGAGGAAATCTAGATGACTGTTCACTAAAACAATTTTAAATGTTGAATCAGTTTTGATTCACACCAATGAAAATTACATGCATGTGGCGTTTGTAGATTGAATCTAGAAAGAAAATCAGCACAAGATTATAGACAGCTTTTAAAAATGGGAATTCAATCAAATAAACGGAGACGAGGGATACACGTAAATAGAAAGGTCCCAGGAATTGTCATTAGTGCGTGATGGAAAGGTTTGGTTTGACAAGGGATATAGACAGTACTGACAACTCATGTATAAGTGAGCTTCCAACCCGACTACCCACCGCTCTGAGTAAACCAGTCTTTTCAAGCGAAATGCCGCATTTGAAACCTGAAAGTATATCATCGTATCCGCTTCGAGCAGAAGCACCCAGTCATCGGTTGAAAAATTAAGAGCCACGTCGGTCGGAGGTGTTCAATTTGTTGGCAGCGATACAACCGTGACGCGTGCATGCATTTCCTAGTCGTTTGTGAACCAGCGAAGTTCAGTTCCGACAAAGGAGCCTCCGAAGCCTGCTGAGAAAATAGAGCCCTCTCTTGGTCCAGCCTGAGGCCCATAATTTGAGCCATTCTAATAAGCAATGTTCAATCTCGATATCGCGTTGCCAACATGAGTGTTGTATGGAATTTTTCCGCGGGAAGCAAACCCATTTTCCTGGGAAATTTCCGTGAGAAGCACTCGTCGGCTGAAAAAATAGGGGGGGGGTTCAGTTTTGAGGGATTTTCCAGCAAATTAGTGAGTTTTATTCCCGTTCAGCTCTATTTTTCATACTTTCCCTTTTCGTCATGTTCCTTTACTTGGTTTTCGGGTTTTTTTCTATTGGGAGCACCCCCTTGCCCCCTTAGCGAGGCTCATGTCTGCAAAAGGTATTTCTGCATTCCAATCGCCAGACCCCCATATAGCAAGCTTAGACCAAAGCGCAGTCTGGTCAAACATTCAACCACTAACCTCATACCCTCTGGTGAGCACTGCATTATTTTTAAATTTTCCCCCCAAGGTCTATTATGTTTGTGCAGCCGCTGATAATGTCCATGAAATAAACGAGACGTACGTAGTAGGTGTGCCTGTATGTTCTTGAACCAGCGGAGGACATGAGCAGCCACCGTTGATCGGAAAATTGCGCCCTCTCTTGGTCCTGCTTGGTGTGGACTGTACAATTTGTGACCAGTGACTTTACAAAGGTACCTCTGTTTTCACGTATCAATAGCAGTAAAATTTGCATATTAATGTTCCGTACTTTTAACATCACTTAATCATAAATTGAAAGATTTCTATGAACAATATGATGTAGGCCTATAACAAGCATGAAAAATTTCAAATCCTATATACTTTAGAATTGTTGTATTCCTAACCGTACTGTTTCATAATCAATCACTAAGCTTTAGTTCTGGATAATCTAAAACACGAGTATTCATGAACAGGAACCATACTAATGTTTCATGTACGTGATTGTAGAGTATTTTAGTACTGTAATACAACTGTGCTACATACACGTGGTGTAGTTTTAAATTCTTGCCACATTAGCCCTGTCAACTCTCGATGCATAACAATTAAGAGCTGCACAATTCTGTTTGCCAATCACTGCACTGGTTCACTGCACAGAATGACTGACTTTTATGTATATTTGCGTAATACGGGTGATTCACAATATTAGCGCGCCTCTAAGAGTTTGCAACGCGTCCTCCAATCCCAATGCGCGAAATCTGTCGACCCTTTCCAAAAGTGCATTGGGCACGGACGTATATAAAAAAAACCTGGACTTGCAACGCCTTTGTATGAAAAAGAAGCCAACCAGCGGCCATTTTACCGAGCCGAATACAGAGGCGTGGGTTGGATCCGTTCTAGTGACGTCAGGAAGAACAAAGGCGGGCATTGCTAGGAAAGCTTTGTATTCGGCTCGGTAAAATGGCCGCGAGTGGATTCAATGACTCTGTAAGCTGATTAGGGGCATTGCAAGTCCAGATTTTACTATACACGTCCGTGGCATTGGGTCGACAGATTTTGCGCAGTGCGGTCCATGAGCAGAAAACTTTCCCAATGCATGCAAATAAATATTTATCACATATCCCACGAGCTATGCTGCACCGTATCAAAAATAACATAAAAACCGAAAATAAAATATGTGCAGCGCTTTCGATTTTGTTTCAAACACAGGTGTTCTGTATTCACAAATGGCAACTGTTGTCTTTCATTTCAATGTAGTATCTACGTATTCATGTAGAGGCGCATGGGTGTAATTTCCTGATCTCTCTTGTCATGAAAAGAGCTGTAAAACATCCAGAGAACGTCTTTCTTTTTATACTGTGAGTTTACCCCTTCAACGAAATACATTTGGAACACCGTATACAGTGCTATCCGTGTGCTTCAAAATTCACGAGCTTACTTGTTTGCCAAGAGAGTGTCGTTTTCGATATCCCAAAGTCCCAATTTTACGCGTCAATGTATTTTTGGATATTTAAGCACGATAAAAGGATCAACTCTGGACAGTTACATAACATAAACACTGCGTGTGCAAATGATTTACGTTTTGGCGTCTTCCAAGGCCTGGTGAAACCTGTACGAAGCCTACACGCAGAAGAAAAATCTTTCAGTTTGCGATTGCGGTTTTGTTACTCCAGTCTTGGGTCAAAGTGCGTATGAGTTAGGTGACAGTAAGAACATGATATCCACATCCCCACGATTTCCAGCACAGATTTACGTCACTGCGCAGATGCAAATATTAAACGTGGGCCTTCGGCAGCCGGTAGCCGAATCCAAAAAGACTTTCTTGTTTCAACCGGCCGCAACCAGCTATTCATATAAAATGATTTACGTTTTGGCGTCTTCTATGGCCATTGGTTGAAATAACGCATGTCATTTAAAAACATAAAGCTGCATGCGACGACGACTCGCCATAGGCCTACTCTCCTCTTCAGTACTCTCCCTGGGATACATTTGAATGTGTCTGACTCTGGTGAGCTGAACATGGGATAAATCTGCACAGGGATCATTAACCATGGGTGCAAATCATTCCAGCATGCCTCTATTTCTGATGTAGATATCTCAATTTTGGAATGAAAATGTTGACTTTACATGTCCAAAATTAAAGATGTCTTTAATTTTAGACTGTATGGTGCATCGCACGATAAATAAGGAATACTTGGGTTCATAAGCAGTAGAAGTATACAAGTGAAAGTGCGTAAGAGGATAGCGATGGAAATTTAAATATGAGTTGTAAAACTGTAGTAACAACCTTCTGTTTAAAGCTGAATACAAAGGCAGAATTGGTTTTTATTTCATTATAGCTACAACAAGTGTTTATACTCCATGGAGTTTCTTCAGTTTCGGGTTGGTTAAGGATTTTATCATTCTATTACGACACGCCTTCGAGGTTACATTTTCACCGACCTTAAGCCTTACTTCTATTTACCTTTTGAAGGATACAATGATCGAATTAAAGATTTGGAATTGCAAGGTTGTTTATCTGTATTTTTCTCTGTTAGAGTGAATCTATTTGAAAATTTAAACTGTTCTGGGCTGTATTCATGCTTGGTAATTGTTGTTCTAGTTTGCAATAATTTCTTTGTATTATTCTGTTCTTAATGCAAGGCTGTCTCATTTTGGTTTGTATGATGAACTTTGAGTGCGGTGTCGGTGGCTGTTAAGTTTTCCTTACTGTCATTATGACATTAAATGGTGGCTCCGATGGAATTTTTGGTAGAAACCTCCAAAATGCATTTTTGTATCTTAATTAACCTTATTTATGAACAAAAGTGTGATGTTATTCCTGGAATAGGGCCTCAGTGTTAGATCAGTTAGTGAACAAAAATCCTGCATTTTTTATTTGATGGCTAAATTGTCTCTTCTTTGGTAACACGTTGCTATGCAAGTACATAGCAATAAGCAAAGTATCAAACATTTCTCGGAAAAGTTGTCAGTAAATGAATTCAGGATTCACAATTTTTGCAAAAAAGAAAACAAAAAATGCACCGAACCGTGCCTTCCGTGGACGACATATTCGAACAACGTCCTCAGTTGTAGCATGGATAATTTTAAAATGTTTTAAAAAGTACACATTTCCAGTGCATTTAACCTAACAGGGGTGTCATATAAGTTCCATACGTTGGGGAGGGGTGTAAGTTAGCAGTTGTGTTACTTCAGAATCCCAGATATTCGATGGAGTGATTGTTCACTTCTGTTCTCGAATTTTATTCAGTTTCTATGTTAGATTCAATCGGGAATTTTTCTATTCTTCTCTACCTATTTGCAATTTATATTTTCACCAGTCTTACGCATCCCGTGTAGCAGCTAGAGTTAGAAATTGGATATTGATGAAGACGCCTTCCTCCTGTAGAGGAGCAACACCATAGAAGGAAGGAGCCCAATTTGTTCTTCTTTGCGACAAAAAATGAAGTGTCTTTCCTTCAATGTTTATGACTAATTTGACCGGGGAACTCGGGGAAATACTTAAAAGCAAAGCTAATTCTCTTAGAATTGGTTGACTTTTACATGTAAATTTATGTGTAATAGGTTAATTGTCAAGTGTGTAGTGACTAAAACCTGACGTATAACAATCTCTAGTGAGAAACGTATCAGACAGTGCACTGCAGTAGGTGTGATATGTACAGCAGCTTTACTTCATGATCAAGGAGTGATAAAGGATTTTGTAGTAGCATTTAATCGGAAATACTTGTAGAAACTGTACATTTCAAGATAACTTTGAGTGTTTCTGTATAATACCGAGGTATGCAGATATTAATCGTTGACTTTATGTATCTTTAATTGTAGATAATATTGCAATTGTTGCTTACAGCCTTCTCTTAATTGATACCTTTTCATGCAGATTATCCATGGAATTAAAATGCTACCAAGGGCTGTATATTCTTGCAAAACAGGTTACCGTGTCAATCCTTACCGTGTCATTTGATTGGTTCATAAATTCATGATATCTTATAGTATCATACACAACTGTTTAGTAAATTACTAGACATACATATCAAGAGAAAAAAGTTAAACATCTAAAGAATCGATAGTCAGCAAACTCACTGGGCTAGACTTGACCTAACATGCGCCATCGAAAACATGTCAAAATCATATGCAAATCATGAGGAATCATGCTTTGGGTGGGAGTCGATTCTGACTCGAGGGGGACTTGTATAATCTCGATTATACTACAGGTAAGTACACTTGC